GTATTTCTAGCTGGCCAAAAAGTTTGTTTACTCAGGAATAGTCATTAAGTTTTATCAAATGCTTTTCAACTTTTATTAAGATGATTATGTTGGATTTCTCTTTTAATCTATTATCTTATCTAGTTACATTAATGGCTCTCCTGATGTTAAACCATTTTGATATTCCTGAATTAAATGTGCTTGTCATGATATAGTACTCTTTTAATTCATAGCTGAATTTGACTTGCTCATATTTTATTTAGGAATCTTAGAGAAATAAAAGTGCTCCTTTCATTTCTTCTTTGTAGTTTGGTTTTGGTATTAGAGTTAGGTTGGCCTCACAAACATTTCCTATTCCCTGAAACAGATGGGATTTTTCCTATAAACTCATCTAGGTGTGGTATGATGGAGTTTTATTTGTTTGTTTTGTTTTTATTTTTGTTTGTTTGAGGTTAGCTTTTATTTTTTTTAAACAATCTTTTACCCTCTGCAACAGGGAGCCCAATGCTTCAAGTCAACTCTGACACTACCTGGGGCTAGCATAGAACCTGCAGGTTAAGGATTCAGTCCTACAGGACTGCCCCACTTTAGGTGCCAATCGCAAGTCTCAGGCTTCTGCCATTCTTCTCACCAACCTGCCATAAATCAGACTCTTTTCTCAGGTTCCCTAATTTGTTAGAAAGGGCCACAGACCTCAGGAAATTTCTTTATTTATTATTACCAGCTGATTATACAGAATACAACTCAGGACCAGCTAAATGGAAAGGATTAATAGGGCAAGGCATGGGGTATGGTTATATGGGGGCATGGAGATTTCATGCCCTCTCCGGGTGCATGTCCCTCCAAGCCCCTTGATGTGTTCATCAACCTGGAAGCACTCTGAACCTATTAGTTTTTAGGGGCCTTCATGAAGGTTTCATTACATAGGCATTACTTATTAAATTGTTGACCGTTGGGGATCAACTTCATCTCTAGCTCTATTCCCCTCTCCAGAGGGCATGGATGAGGCTTAAAGTTGAAAGGGCTAATCATGCTTTGGTCTTCCTGGAAAACAGCCCTCCTCCCGAAGTGACCTCGGGCTCTCAAAGAGTCACCTCACTAGAAACAAAGACACACTCATCACTTCTATCAGAAATAAGAGGGATGAAGGCGCAAAGATCAAGGATCTATTTCTTATTTTGTCACATCTAGCATCCATTTTTCCATCCTTTGTCTGTTATTCTCTCTGTGTCTTTTAATTTCAGGGGCCCTCTTGTACTCCACAGGTCACCGCATTTTATTTTTCAGAGTTTAACATGAACTTTTATGTGTGATTGCTGATATACTTTAATTTTACTGTTTTTTGTTTGTTTGTTTTGATCTTGCCTGTGGCTGAGTTGATTTTATATTTTATTCCATTACATTCCCTCCCTTGTGATTTGAAATGTATATATCTATTTCTTTTCTTCTAGTGGTTACATTTATATTTTTAACAATTTTAACAATTCTGTGAACTGCTATAATATCTATATCTTCCTCTTACATAAGAATAAAAAATTTAGGATTCTTACACTTCTCACCACTCTCTCTGGCAGACTCCATGGTTGGAACATCTGGGATTTTAGTTCCAGATGGTTATTTTATACATTTTTAAAACATCAAGCATCAACAGTTATTTAAACTTGACTATAACTTTTAGTGTTTTATTTAATTACTACTCTTTCTAGTATATTTTTACTTGGTTTTGTTTTCTATTTTATGGGATTTTCCTTACATATTTTTTTTCCCTGAAGCATTCATGGATGGCAAAAATTTCCAAGACTCTGAAGTTTCAAAAATCTTCATTTTGTCCTCATACTTGAATTCAAGTTTGCCAAGGTGTGGAGTCTGGGTTTAAAATAACAATCTTGGTTCATTTTCTTGTAGCATTCAGTTTTGCTGTTAAATTTCATCGCTACATTATTGTAAGTAATCTGTTATTTTCTCTTTGGAAATTTTTAAAATGTTTATGTATGATGTTCTGATATTTTACCATAATGTTGAAAGTTGAGGACCTTTTAAAACTCATTTTGGCATGAAGTAGATCCTTTCAGTCTGAAGATCCATGTGTTTCTTCAGCTCTAAGTAAATTTATTTGAATATTTTTAAATTTTTTTCTGCTAATTTTCTTTTTTCAGAACTCCTCTGTATCTCTTAATATTCTGTTGCTATTTTCTAGTTTTTTCTTATTTATAATTTTTGTAGGAGAAACCCTTAGTTTGATCTTCTAGCTGTTACTCTTCATCTATACCCATGATGATATTGTTTTAGTATTTAGAACATTAACACTTATTATTACTTCACTTTGAAGATCATTCTTAATTTCAGGATCTAGCTGTTTCTGTTTAAAGATTTAGTATCTTCTAGAATTACTCTAAGGACATTAATATAGTTTAAGGTCTTCATCTATTCTTTGCTTTATTGAATGCTTTTTTTTTTTTTAAAGAGTGTTTTCCTTCAAACGGAGAATGAGATTTGATTTTCTGTTTCCCTTTGTTTTTTTCAAATCTTTCCTCTCCTCTTGGGCTGGGGCTGTTTACCTGCCTGTATTCTGGTTCGTGTGGCAATGGAAGGAGGCTCATATTGTGTTGCTGGGTCTATCTCCCACTGGTGGGGAACCCATAGTCACCATTTGTGGTGGCTCTTTGGCCCAGTGTCCACACATACTGCTTTTCAGTGCTGCAGATACCAAGGGCTTGGCTGGGTCAAGTGAAGGAGTTGGGTAGTGGTGGAGGAGCTACGTATTAGGGTTCTCCAGAGGGTCAGAATGAATAACATACAGGTACACATGAAAGGGAGTTTATTAGGGAGAATTGGCTCACATGATTTTACACAAGGAGGTCCCACCAAGACAGGCCATCTGCAAGCTGGGATAGAGAGAACTGATAGTGGCCCAGTCCAAGTCCAAAAGCCTTGAAACCAGGGAAGCCAGCAGTACAGCCCTCTCATTGGGGCCTACTGAGAGCCCCGGGGAGGTCACTGGTGCAAGTTGCAGAGTCCAAAGGCTGAAGAACTGGAGTCCAACACCCGAGGGCAGGAGGAGAGGAAGCAAGGGTCCCTGCCTGGGAAGAGAGCGAGGCAGAAGACGCAGCGAGTTCTCCTCCTGCCTTGTTCCAGCGGTGCTGGCAGCCTACTAGATGGTGCCCACCCACATTGAGGGGGGGTCTTTCTGTCCTAGTCCACTGACTCCAATGTCGGTCTCCCCAGTCAACACCCTCACGGACAGACCTGGAAACACTGCTTCACCAGCCATCTAGGCACCATCCCTCCAGTCAAGCTGCCACCGATCATCAACCGTAACAGACTAGCAGCCTCAGGGACGCCAGCACCGTCTCAGATTGCCCAGGCCGTGTTCCCTCCTAACCCATGCTCACACTCCTTGGCCTTCTTGTCCCTCAAGCCCTCTCTTGCATCCATTTTGGACTCTTGTTTTATCCGTTGTCCCTTTTTGTCCCCACGACTTTGGTACTGTTTGCTTTATATTGTTCAGACAATCATCAACATTTTTGGTCCACTGGCACAGCTCCTACTTCTACGTCAGTGCTCTTATGAGCTGTTACTCCCACCCCCAACGTGGCTTTCTTATAACTTCATGGGGTTTGAGATGGGCTAAAGGTAAATCCATGTGGCTCAGGCTGACTTTCTTAGTCAAGTCTTAGCGTCCTCTGTTTGAGATCTCCCTAATAAACTCCCTTTCATGTGTACCTGTATCTTATTCTGTCTCTCTGGAGAACCCTAATACGTAGCCCCTCCACCATTACCCGACTCTTTCACTTGACCCATCCAAGCCTTGGTATTCATAGCACTGAAAAGCAATTTGTGTGAACACTGGGCCAAAGAGGTGCCACAAATGGTGACCCTGGGTCCCCGCCATGGTGGGAGATAGACCCAGCAACACCATATGAGCCTCCTTCCACCGCCACAGGAACCAGAATATAGGCAGGTAAACAGCCCCAGCCCAAAAGGAGTTTTGGAAAAAAAAGGAAAACATAGAAAATCTTACCTTATTTTATCTTCATCTATTTATGATAGTCTTCATCTAAGGAGCAGGGGCTTAGATTTTCTAACTCTTTGTGGGTAGAGGGTCTTTCACGTATCTCCCATTGATACTCACTGAGAATGTCCTGGCTTGGTAGCAGTTTGGGATATGAGGCTGCATGCAATGTAGATCCTTCTCCTAGGCAAGTGGGTCCAGTGGTGTGCACTTTGAAAAATGCCTCATAATGTAAAAAGAGTCATGGGTAAAAAGGTGATAAAGTGACTGAATTTTCCATTAGGCAAAGTGTGGGGAGCTATTTCATAGATAAGGTGATTATTGAATAGTTTAATCAAGGATGACTCAAACTTTGCAGTCAGAGTTTGGGTGGATATCAGGAGTAATAAAACACTGCAGGGATCCCTGGCAAGAGGAGAGAGGCAGGCAGGGTGCAGAGGTTTTGAAGTGCATGACATACTTAACAAAAATTAAGTGATCCATTCTGGTTATCATGGATTTAAAGGGGAAGGGAGGAGTCATTTGGCTGAGGTGTGAGATGTTGCTGAAGGAAATGTGTACCAAGCCCTAATTGTCTTCTAGGGGATATCTCCATGAAAGGACCTGCAATTTCCCAAGTGCACATGATGCTGAAACATTTACACTATGGACCGCAACTTATCTTGACTTCTTAGGAAGAACCAAAAAGGGGATGCCCAGAGACAGGGTGGAGGAAATAGCTTCTGCTCACCATCTCATCTTAGTTCCTATTGATATTATTGGGTTATTGATAATGGTTTCTGTCCGTGACAGGCAGAACAAGCTCTACTCTTCCCTGTGTCTATCTAATGATAGCATTTGGCTTGTCTGATACATAACACACTACAGTCTGGGTCCTGATCATTAGACAACATCATCAGTTAATAATAAATGTTGATTTACTGTCAGAGAAATAAGATATCATATAAATTAGATAGGTGTGCTAAAAACTTAAACAATCATTAGGTTTAGATGAAAAGAAAGGAAGCAGGTGCTTCTGAGGTTCATAAGCATGATGGCTGGGTGTTAGTGTGCATGTGTGAGATGTGCTACCCTTGAACCTGGTTATGATATTGGCACATTACCTATCTGACATGAAAACAACAACAAGAACAACAAAAATGAGGCCATGAGTGTGTATAAATGAACCAAAATAGAAAAGCATTGCAACATACCTCTGAGTGCTAAGGACTGAGAGGTTTAAAACTATGCAGTCATGCAGGGATTTTCACATAAACTATTACCTTTGCTCCTCAGAAGAACCATGTGAGTTAGGTTCTATTATTTTCCTCACCTTACAGCTTGACGAAACTGGCAATTTTAGTAACTATTCAAGGTCACACAGCTAGTAAGCGGTGGAACTGGGCCATAAACCCGTATTTCCCCAATTGTATGCTCTTTCATTTTCACAAGTAGTCCTTGATACAGGACATATTATGTCCTGGCACTCACAAATGTGAATGTGGAAACTGGAATGTGGAATACTGGATTTTGAGATCACGTTTGTGAGATTGACAGCCCAGAACCTACAGATCCTGAGAAAATGTTAAGTGAAAGATGAGTGGAGTGAAACTGCTAACTCATGCAGTATGGGCATTTTGACTTTAATAGGGGAATTCTCTCAATGTAAAAGCCTTGGGCTGAGGAGATGGATCACAAAAGATGGCTGCACAGTTCCTTACCCATTGCCTCACTACGTTCCATTTTTTCATTTTGCCAAGTCACAAATACACCATGTGGAGGAACCAAAACTTAACAATCTTTTTGCATTCATTTATGTAATCATCAGCTCCTAGGTTTTTGTTAATTTATTTTCTTCTTTTTGTTTTTGAAAGTGACAATATAAGCAATGTATTTTGATGTTGTTCTTGTTGCAGTAGGTTTGTTAGTATTTCTTAAATTTGAGAATGAACAATTTATTCCCAGTTCTAAAACTCATCTACTATGCAATCCTTAATTGGGTATTTTGTGACTACACATTGTGTGTATGTTTATATGTGGCTGCATGTAAAGCATGTGTTTGAGAATGCACATGTGCATTTTGGAAATCATTATTTATAGCTCTTAATTAAAAAATTTTAAAGGAAGTATACAGGCTTAGTTCTTTGTTTTCGAATGTGAGCAGCTGAAATTAGATCCCTCATACACCTTGCCAGAGGAAAACTGTGCAATATGCGTAATGTGCTCTTGTCCCCTCTAGAGAGGTGGCGCTAGAGTGGAAATGGCTAATCCTCTTCACCGGGAATGAATTGGAAATTGAGTTTTGCAAACGAAGTCAGAGATAATTTCCCATCTTCATTATTTATGGAAATCAGTTACTGTATTTTAATTATCTACTACTTGCCTCGTCCACATAAAATGCCTTTCCTTTTATTTAAACTGCAAATAATTGCCAGTAGAATTATTCATTGGAAATTGGAATCCACTTTTTTGATCTCTAGAAAGCCTATTAATAATGAATGAGGATTTTATTTATTTGTTACAATTCCACAAATGGAAACTAAAGAAAGACTATATTCCTCACTTATCTCCTCTGACAATACCTAAGTAAACTCACCCCAGGAGAAATGCCAAAATGTGGAAAAACATAAAGATGAGAACAATATTCTTTTTTCCTTTTTTCAACAAATGAAATGCCTACTCATTTCAATAAATGTGTGCCTACTATGGGAAAAGCACTGTTAGGTGAAGTCAGGGAGAAAGTTAAGGGAGACTTGAATTTTGCCTCTCAGGACATAATAAACATTCATAAAATCCTTGACATTTGCAAACGATATACCCTGAGACCTTCATCAATCCCCTTATTCATGAATCTTACTATAGCATATAATTTGCTACATAAAATGCGATAAAATATAACTGAAAAATATAAGTGACCCATTTGGATCCTTAATGATTCTATAAATACAGAACTCAAGTAATTTATAAAGCTATTAAAACAAGTACTGCCATTAATATAAACTCTATACTAGGCTATCTCTCACTTGAACAATTTTTGCACTATCCAGAGAACTTGCTAAAATAGCTTCATGAATTGCTTTTTCCAGTTTTGGTACAGATTGTATGGTGGATCTTTCATGTCTGAACTACAGAAGAATCTGAATCTTTGCTTTTAAATATTATTTTTAAAAATATGTATTATATTAAATAATATAAACTATGTTAAATATATATGTTAAATATAAATATATATATATATTTTTTGGCCAAAGCCATCACTTGATTGGATATACTTATTTTTCTTTTCATTACCAGTGATAGAAGCCAATTTTCTTATTAGGAACTTTTTTTCCCCTCCCATTTGAAGAACCAAAGTGTGACCACCTTTTTAGCCTGTGTATGCCGCTAAGCAGATAAACTTGTTAATGGGTTTCCTGGGGCTTCCCAGCTGCTCCTACAAACTCTAGAAGTCACTTCTGAACTCCAGCCATAAAGTATTGAATTCAAATTTGGGCCTCACAAAAATTAAAATATAATATCCATGATGAAATTTGAAGCCTTTCTAAATAGTCAAAGTACTAACTTCTATAACCACAAATGAACAAGGTCTGATATACTTATATATTCAGTACTAGGGAGAAAGTGACAGATACTCAGGAAAGTCACAGGTAAACTTAATTTCAGAAGCTGCAGGGGAGTTTGAGGAAGACTACAGGGAGGAGGCAGCATTTTTTTTCCCATAGAATAACTTACCCACAGAATTCCTTAATCTCCTTGTAAGTTTAACTGTTAGTCTAAAGAGGGACAGCTCTTTAGAACCTAGGAAACAGCCTTCCTACAGAGAGTAAAAAATATTACCACCATAGTTTGCTCAAAAGCAGCCACCAATTAAGAAATACTTCAAGCTCAACATCTAACTGCCTTAAATTCTAATCACTCTTCTGAACTCCTAATATCACATTAGACTAATCTATTACTTAATAGAAGCAATAATGTTAATATAAGTAACAAGAAGATATTATCCATTGCATAAGCTTACATCAGACTGGACTAATCCACTGACAGTTAATAGCCTAATAGACTTTGAGGATAGGTAAGACTTAGAAATGTGTCACAGACATAGACATCATAGACATTTTGAGTAGAGGAAACAGAATGAGCAAAGATGTCAGTGAGAAGACAGGGAGCTTTCATGAGGAAAGTGAATAGTGTAATCTCACCTAACTATAAAGGTAATGTCTCATGTAAAAAATAAGAAAAGTGGTTTGCTCTTTTTGAAAATATGTTAAGATGAGATATACATGGAAATAATGGCAGTGTATTTAAAAATACTATGGAAAATATATTTAAAATATTTTTAAATGCATAATAATCTGGCAAGAAAGCAAGGGAAAGTTCCAGAAGCACAAAGCAACAAAACAATATCACTTCAGAAAGATAAGCTATGGTGAAGCCAGTTCTACCCTAGGACAGCTACTAATCCCTTATTCCCTAGAGTGCAAATTTGAGGGATTGTGTGTGGATATGAGATAAAGCCTGGGACCTGGCCAAATGGCCAGGAAGATGACAGAGTCCATCCTGCAGCCACAGACCCTAAAGGCGTGACCCTGAAAGAGGCCAAGGGGGCACATGTGCCTTGCAGAAGGAGAGAATGGGACTAGTTGCCTGGGTTGAAGGTGTCTCTGAATGGAAGGGCAAGAGAGGCTTCTTAGAAGCCCTAACTGGAAGACTGCTCTCCCACGAGTGTGAATTCACAGCTCCTATGTGGCTCCCATAAGTTGTAAGCTTGGACCTAGGTTGGTAAGACTCCAGATCCTTGGGAAAAGCAATGCAAATCCTCACTGAAGGAATGCACTTTAGATGCAGGCATTGCTAACATTTCCATGAATTTTTAAAACATGTAGCTCACTATGTACACGAGGAAACAGACCACCATGAACAAAAGTCAGTGCTCATCAGTCAGCGCTCAGTGTAGAAAAAGAACTTCGAAAACTACAGATGGGGCAATTCTTCAAAAGCAGATTATAAAATATGTATGTATAATTATGTGTGAAGAAGTAAAAATGGCTAGCATTATAATTTAGGAATAAGAGAACATTAAAATCCACCAGTAATATTTTTAAGTAACCAAATAAAACTTCTTAGAAATATGAAACATAATAATTGACAGTAAAATTTTGATAGATGGATACAAAACAGATTGGTTTCAGCTATGGAGAGAATTCATGACTGGAAGATAATCTCAACAAAATAAATATCAAAAATCTAGAATAGAGATTCACAAACTTCCTCAGTTCATGACACCGTTCATGTGGTAGTGCCTCAATAATGTTTTTATAGTCCCCTAGAGCAAAAGAAATACCCAATATTTCTTTTACTGAGTAGTTAGGTTCAAAGAACTTAAATTTTAGTATTTTGCATAGTATACAAAGAATAGCCAAATCTCTCTCAAAAATGAGGCATTCCCACAGTGTCCCTGTGAATTCACTCTGGTTTCCCAGTATTCGTTGACCTACAGTTTGAAAACCATGGATGTAAAGTAAATAAACAAAAAATGGAAAACGTCAAAGCCAACTTAAAGAGACTCCCATGTAGGTCTAACATACGTGTAATTGAAGTTCCAGAAGAAGAAAGGGAAAAGACATGGCAAGAGAATTTTCCAGAATTAAGACAAAATTTATGGATTCAGAAAGAACAGCAAATTAGAAGCAGAATAAATACAAAAACCTAGGCGTGGTGGCTCGTGCCTATAATCCCAGCTACTTAGGAGGCTACGGCAGGAGAATCACTTGAGCCCTGAAGCTTGAGGCTGCAGTGAGCTTTGATCACCCTACTGCACTCTGGCCTGGAGTAAGACCCCATCAACACATTAAGTCCCCATCACTAAAAATGCTTTTAAAAAAGAACAGGTACAATGAAATACGTATCTAGACATATTTTACCAAAACTATAGAATAGCAAAAACAGAATGACCTTAAAAGTAAAGACGAATAAATAATTCTTTTTTTTTTTTCCTTTCCAACTTTTATTTTAGGTTCAGAGTATATGTGCAGGTCTGTGACATGGGTAAATTTTGTGTTGTGGGGATTTGGTGTTCACATTATTTTGCATTCAGGTAATGAGTGTAGTACCCTACAGGTAGTTTGGCATTCCCC